GGTTCCCTCACTGCAAAAAGTGAAATTATAGGAAACAAGGTAGAGGGCCTTCTCAGTAGTGGCACCTACCCTGTGGAACACCCTTCCATCAGATATCAAGGAGATAAATAACTATACAACTTTTAGAAGACATTTAAGGCAGCTCTGTATAGGGTAGTTTTGAGTATCTGATGCTGTGTTTTTATATTTTGCTGGAAGCTGCCCAGAGTGGGTGAGGAAACCCAGTCAGATGAGTGGTGCATCAAAAATAATAAAGAAATATAATTAATAATTAATGCATAGCTTAGCAGCACACTTACCTGGGAGTAAGCTCCAGTGAATGCAATGGAACTGCTTCTGAGTAGAAATGTATAAGAAAGTGCTGTGGGACATGGGAAGTGTGTGGTTGGTTTATAAGCTCCTTCCTTCTCTAACCCCCCCCCCCAATAAATTCCTTTCCTTTCTCTTTTCAGAGCTATCAGTGTTATATTTTCACTGATGTTAATGCTAACCATGGTTGAGATCAAGTTTCATGTCTCCTGCTGTTCAGAAAAATACTAATAAAATATGAATGGTAAGCAGGCTAGCGTATGACATACCAAGATGGAAATTTACCATGAGAGGGTGTCCATTTGTATGCTGCAAAGAGCCTGCCAACCTCCTATTGAAAGATGCAATTTTTCAAGCAAGCAATGCCTCCAGAAGTCAATGGGAATGCTTTGAAGAGAAGCTCTCACAGAAGCAGAATCAAAGGCTTGATAGGATTCTGTTGTCATGGCAGTCACAAACTCAGTGTCTTATATGGATTGCTCTAGGAAAATTAAATAAATTAACTGCTTCTCTTTAATGACAAGTTTTAGACATTTTGGTTCACCTTTCCATGGTTGGATGGCCATTTTAAATTGCCTGTGCATTTTTCAATTTGTGTGGTGTGATTTAAGATGCTCATAAATTATTTTTTTCAATATTTCAGATCTAAAATATTCACATCTATTCTGCTGAGGAGAGAGAACACACACTGACTTGCGGGCCTCAAATCTGTCTCTGTGCTTGGTGTACATTCACACTGCATGGTCAGGACCATTCTACACCCCTGTCCCCTGTAAGTGGTATTTTTTGTGGGGTATGTTAGATACTTTCATAATGAAAGTGTATTTCAGTCTCCATTTTTCCTCATTTTGTGAAGAATAAATAAAAATTTAATAATCATCTGAAGTAAGAAATGAGTTTAGAAAATCGACACAAAGACTGCTTAAATATAAAAGGAGGATATCTACTCTGGAAGGCAGCCTAAAGGTGCGCACGCACACCCACCCTTGATTGTTTCCTAAAAACATTGGTTTGCTCTTATGTAGTACTGTTGATGGGCAGTCACTGGAGAACTTACCAGATTGCTTCCACCTGCTGACTGGAGAAAGTAGCAAAACCACAGATGACGTTATCACCCTGCGTTCCTGGCCCAAGGTAAGACAACACTGTCCTTGTGCTGGTGGTGGGGAAATGGCATCCGTTTGCATTTAGCATGCCTATTATCTGTCTCCGGGCAATAGGTACTGAACGACCTCCAATAATTTGGGCTAAATGGCATTGCTGTTAGGTAGTTTTCCTCTGCTGACACAGACTGAAAGCACACCTTATAATTTAATTTCAAAGACGTCAAAGGGCATAGGTCAGTACTGGAAATTGTGATGGTTGTATAATTCCACGCCACCCCCTTAAATGAAATCTCTTATTACATATATGTACGTGTTTCTAATGCTATCTGTTAAGTTGTTAATGAGGAGAATATACAGCTGTTTTGAAGGCAAATAATAAATCGCAGGGTAAAACTTAGTGAAGATCAACACTCCTTTATTTATTTATTACATTTACATCCCACATTTCCTCTAAGAAGCTCTAGTTGGCGTATATGGTTCTCTTTCTCCCCATTTATTCCTCACAAGAACCCTGTGAGGTAGGTTGGGTTGAGAGACTGTGACTGAGCAGGGATTTGAACCCTGGTCTCCAGGGTCCTAGCCCATCACTCTTAATCTCTATACCACACTGGCTCTAATATGGCGTAAGCTTTTATGGGCCAAAATCCGCTTCGCCACATCCAGTGAATCATGCAATGAGCTCTATGAAATCAAATGGCTTTGTGGTTCTTGAAAGACAAACCATTTTGAGAAACTCAAGAGACAAATTGTTTTCTTTGTTTTGTTTTTAATTTGTGTTATGACAGAGGAACCTGCTGTTGAAAGGATGAAAAGAAAGAAAGAAAGTAAAATTCTGCACGAGCCTTTGGGAGCACCGAAAACATTCCTTTGCATAGGAGCCAACCCCTAGGGGCCAAGGGGTGTTCACCCCCCCCAAGCTGATGGGCATTGCCATTTAAATGGTGTGTGCACACCATGTCATGTGATCAATTATGCAAAATGAGGCTTACCTACCCCCCCAAATATTTTATTTAAGGTGGCACCCGTATTCCTTTACACTATGGACTCATTTCCCAAAAGTGTATAAGCCAGCCTTCCTTAACCTAGCGTCTTCCAGATGTTTTGGACTACAACTCCCATCAAATCCTGATAACAGATGTTTTCCTGCCCCACCACCGAATTTCTAGCCTCAGTATTTCTTTTTAGTATTTGACATTTTCAGAAATGCTGCATTTGTGTGTGTGTGTGTGTGCTTTTCTCTTTATCATTCTGAGAGCTACATATTTGTAAATATGAAGAACAATATGCTACTTGTAGGGAAATTGCACTGGAAAGTTTCTTAGATCACAGCTAGCCATATCAACAACTAAATTCACTATCTGCTGATGGTGATGTACTGTGCACTGTTTCTGGCTTTAACTGTACACTTAAAAAAAATCCCTATAATTAGAATTGTTGGCACATTTGTGCAACCTGTTTACTTGCTCAAGCATAAGCTGTGCTCTGAAATTGATAAAACAGATTGCAGGGAGAATTGGCAAGCAAAGATGTTAAATCAAGGTCCATAGCACCGCTTGGAAACTGCAGAGCATTATTTGAGCGATTTACTTTACCTTCTTCAAGTGATGTTCACACTGATCTCTTAAAGTACTAAATAACCCAATGCAGCTTTGAGAAATGAATGGATTCATGAGTTCCTATTCTAATAGATTCTACTGGATTGAAAATAGACATGAAAGCAAAAATGAAACAAAATGGGGCTGCGTTCCTGGAGCCTAATAATTACATACCATCCATACTCATGAATTGCATGGTGTGATGATGAGGTAAAAAAATAATAATGCATGGAATCACTGAGCAATTCAGTTTGGTAGGCGTTTAGCTTTTCATACTGGAGTATGTGGTAGACTTACATAATTTTGATATTGCTAAAAGGTCCACAAATTAAAAGTATGTAACTCTGGAGAAAAAAGAGTGCATTGCCAGCTATGGGGGAAATCTGTGTTGGGTGGTCCTCTGATTATGGGGAAGCTCAGAACTAGAATGTGCTGTAGTTTGTATCTTAGCTTCCATGCATATCAGATGCTTATTAGGAGTGAAAGCTATAATGCATTTAATTGGTAGATTAATTAGCCAAAATTCTAATCTCATGCATACACATACTTCTCCCTGCTTAAAAGGAGAAGTGAAGATTGACCTGTGCACTGATGTGCCCTTTATGCAGCAATGACAGATCCTAGTTCCTTTATTTGATGGAGAGTAAAAGGAAGCATAAAGGTGTTTTTCTCCCCTTCAACGTCTCTCTGCTAATCTTTAGATAATTTGCCCTTCAGGATGCAAATGCTACAGCTTTCCTACTATAAATAAAAACCACAGCAACTGAAGCCAACTGTGCTCATTTGGAAACCAATGTCAATGTTTCTTTTAAATCTGGCTCTTTCACAGTACAGATGGATTCAAACTCTTAATTTTTAAAAGGCCTGTTTAAATAAAATTGAGTGATCAGTTAAATTTGTGTATACATTTAAATATGGCTAAAAACAATATTTTTTAAATGGTGATGTGTGTCATAATGGGAATCATCTCAGAAGAAAACAAAGGCTGGGGGAATGCATTTGCTAAGGTGACACTTTGCACCAGGAAATAGTTGTATCAATATATTAATATTTCTCTCGCATGCCCAGTTATTCAGACCTTTTAAGTTATTCAGACACCTTTTTAATCATTCTATAGGTTATTAATCTATTAATCCAGCCAGTTAATTGATTATTCCTTGCAGCTTCATTTCTAGCCAGTTTTGGCCTCAATGTGCTGGTGTTAAGAATTGAGAATATTCTGTATTCTGGAGTTGGTGTGTTTCTGCTTTTTTAGTCCAAGGACAGCATTACTCTAGTGCAGGCGTGGCAACACTTGGCCCTCCAGTTGTTTTGGGACTACAACTCCCATCATCCTTAGCTAACAGGACCAGTGGTCAGGGATGATGTGAACTGTAGTCCCAAAGCAGCTGCAGGGCCAAGTTTGGCCATGCCTGCACAAGAGTAATGCCTGCTCTAGTGGAAAACTGTATTCTAAAAGTGGGTGGGGCTAGACCCTCACACATACAAGCAGTTATTTCCCATGAAAACAGAAATATGTTCTTAGAAAAATGTTCTTAGAAACATTGTTCAGGTTTTACTTTTTATTTTCTGAAAAAACAAATAGAAATGCTCCAACACTCTTTAGTTATCCTGACTACGCAAAAAAGGCAAAAAATACTCAGTAATACCTGCAAAATGATGTTATTAAAGCCAATGCAGACAGCTATGTTGCAAGCCCTGCATTATGGCTGTTGAAAGCAATTGCATCTGGAAAATTGCATGCATGCAGCTGCAAAATGCATTGACTATCTTTTGCATATTTGAAGCAAAAGCAAATCTGCTGAGACATTTCCTTGCTTCCTTGATATTGCAGCCGCTCTTACTGAAGATGGAATCACAATTGTACATTTTGCATAAAACCAAATCCACTTTCCCTCTTGGCTGTTTCCTGCTGCTGAACAGCTAAGGTTTGGAAGAGACCAAGAGGGCCTGGTCAAACCTGGTTTTAGACTGCATCTATTGCCTGGAGGTTTCCAATCCCTGTTCTGTTATTGCACAACAAAAATAATATCCATTGCAACAAGATCGTAATAAGTTCCTCTGGGTTAGGCCAGTAGCCCATCTAGTCCAGCATCTTATTCTCACAGTGGCCACCCAGATGCCTATGGGAAACCAGCAAGCAGGATTTGAGCACATTAGGACTCTCCTGTGGTTTCCAGCAGCTGGTAATTGGAAGCATTACTACCTCTGACCATGGAGGCAGAGCATAGATATTGATAGCCTTAACCTCAATGAATTTGTCCAATTCTTTCAAAGCCTTCCAAGTTGGTGGCCATCATTGTCTCCCAAGGGAGTGAGTTCCATTGCTTAACTAAGTGCTACAGGAAGAAATACATCCTTTTATCCTGTTTTGAATCTTCCAACATCCAGCTTCAATGGGGACCAAGTTCCAGTGTTATGAGAGAAGGAGAAAAACTTTCTCCACTTTCTCCATGTTATGTAAACTTTTATAAACTTCTATCATGTTCCCTCTTATTGGCTTTTTCTCTGAACTAAAAAGTCCTAAACACTGCAACCTAGGTCGGATTGCCATATTTCAAACCCTGGACATCAATTCTGCCTTTGAAATCCCAGTAATGTCCAGGAAAATCAGGACATATGGCATCCCTACATAATGACAACTCTAGGTTTCACCCCACAGATCCTACTTGACATGGGCTACAAACAAGCCAAAAAACCCATCAAACAGTGTGTGGAAGATACTGAACGCCAAGCAGATCTAGCCAGATGACTGAATGACCTGAATACTTGAAGGAGTCCTGCACAGATGTTAAGATCTGCCAGAGTGGCCTTTCTTGGTGTCATACCCAGCGTGGTTTGATGATGCCCTACTTATGAAACTCCCTGCCTCAGAAATATAGCTGGTGACTATGCTTCTTACATCCAGAAGCCCATTTAAAACTTGGCTATCTACCTAGTCCTTTGGGAGCAACTAGCAGCTTAAGTGATGGCTACAGTTTCAGGGATGCAGGTGGCACTGTGGTCTAAACCACAGAGTCTAGGGCTTGCCGATCGAAAGGTCTGCAGTTCGAATCCCCGTGCTGGGGTGAGCTCCCATTGCTGGGTCCCAGCTCCTGCCAACCTAGCAGTTCAAAAGAACGTCAAAGTGCAAGTAGATAAATAGGTACCACTCCGGCTGGAAGGTAAACGGCGTTTCTGTGCACTGCTCTGGTTTCACCAGCTTAGTCATGCTGGCCACATAACCTGGAAAAACTGTCTGTGGAAGCGGACAAACACTGGCTCCTTTGGCCAGTAAAACAAGATGAGTGCCGCAACCCCAGAGTCGTTTGCGACTGGACTTAACTGTCAGGGGTCCTTTATCTTTACCTTTTTACAGTTTTATGATGGGTTGAAATATATTTTTAATTTTTAATTGTAGTGGACTCTGCCTTTTTATTGAGGTTTTACCTTGAGATCTTTGGCTATAGCTGTATAAAATTCTTTTAAAGGCCTAATAGTTATAAAATGCACAGAAATCATCTTACATTTTTAACAGGAAAGAATTAAGGGAGTTGTATGAAATATTCTTCAATTTTGTTTTCACTTAAAATAGTATTGCATGCCTTAATCTTTAGCACAGAGTAAGAGCAGCATATTTTGGCAACGTGTTTGAATTATTCAGATAATTCTCACTTTGGCCAGAGCGGTTGCATATGTTGAGTACTGCATCTTACTTGTAGCGTGAACAGCTTGCATCTTTACTTGTTAGCTTGCTTTGGCTGTATGACTCCTTCCAGGGATTTTATAAACTTAACTTTTTCTGAAGGCATTCTGTTGCACGGAGCAGTCACAGTCAGTTGAATCTCACGCAGCTCTTCCTTTAACATCAAGGCCGGCTGTTTCTATATGAACAGGGATTGAAGTGCAGATATGAACGTCTTTCTGCCAATTGGCAAGCTTGTAGTAGTAAGGGACATAGTAACTTTTGTATGTATTACTTGCCTAATGCTTGTGAACTTGTTGAACTACCTGAGCTGCTATTCAAAGTGGATTAAAGGGGGAGAGAGAGAGCATGAATTAAGTAGGATGCCCCCAAAAATCTTCATCTTTGGAATGTGCTGCCCTCTTACCTGCCTGTGTGTGCCATACTGTGGTCCTCCTACCTTTCTCCTCAAGGTCAGCAAAGGAGCTTATGAGGAGCATAATGGAACATGCAAAAGAGGAAGGTGGAGAAAGCAAAATGTTTTTTTTCTCCAGCTGCTAGCTTGCTATGCCTGCCTTGGCCTTGGAGTTATTTATTGCATTTTTATGATTCATCATCTGCCTGGTGACTGGGGAAGCATTTCTGTTGTGTTTAAAATGCTGAAATATAGATGAATAATACTGGATTCCTAGTCATTTTTCTACTTCGAACGGAGGTTTTTGGATGCGCCGGCTTTGTTTTGTTTGTTTATTAGTCTTGATTCTTTGATACACTTTGTAGCAGGGTTAAATGGCCAGAACACCTTCCTTTTAAAGTATGACAGGGATGAGATTTTAAGGTTGCTGCAATACGGTATAGCAAAATGCAATATAAATTACACTACAGGAAGATCATCGTTAGAGAAAAGTGAGTTTTCTTAGATGAGAATGGGGGGCCTACTATGAATCTGTTAAAACAAAATATGGTGTGCTATTACTTTTAGAGGTCATAATGGTGTTTTCTTATAAATAAGTTGGATTTACTACAGCATTAGTATGCAAATATTAGTCGGGGGGGTACTTTGGAAAGGAGAAATCCAGTGTAGACTGATGCTTATTTGGACTGATGCTTATTGGGTCAGAAGGCAGGGAAACCAACAGTAGGTTGTACGTCTACTTCTGGGTAAAATCTGAAATAAAAAGTGCACTGGGGTGTTAGTATTTCACCCTAGCTCTGTTTAAGTGAGTAGGCATGCTTGAGGTTCTTCACTGTATACCTGTGTTTTATATGTAGGATGAAAATATGATTTTAAATAGGGGTATTTTAAGAGATGTTGTTACCTATGAAAGTTGTAGAATACTAGAAAATTGCTACACAAAACTGTTATTGCCTGTTGCATTTATTTTGAATGTAGTATTGCCTCCCAGCTGAACTGTAGATCTTGTAAATGTTTAAGAGAAAACG